ATGACTTCATTCAGCAGTGGATAGAGAGTGGCACCTATTTGTTTTAATAGGCTGTGCTATTTAATGATAATTAATAATACATTACCAGTGAATCGGTAAAAATATATTTGACAATATTTTTATGAATTAAGCTATACCACTGCCAAATATGTTACCGTTCTGGAACAATGAATATCAAGTCAAGAGTTGAAGTAATTCTTTCCGTAAATGATTATCTGCATATGGTGAACGGAAAGTCCCTGTAAAAGCTATTACTGTTTGATCTTGTACTCATGTATGTGAATGAGTAGAGGGGTTTCCCACACACGACATTGCTGCAGTATAATTATTTTAGGTACAGGACATTATACATTCCACACCCCATTTCTGGGATATAGCCTACAATTGAAAGAACAGCAGGGCTCCAAATCCTGAGACTGTGAGTTTTAATTCCAGTCAGGGTCAATTCAGCCCATCATTCCTCCAGATCGATACAATAAGCCCCTTTTGGTGAGGCTCCATTTTCTTCTGAGAAGCTATTTTGCATTGCAGAGGATGGACTCTACCATAGGAATGTGGAATTTACACCAATAGCTCAAAATTTCCAACAGAGATGACCAGAGTCATGTTCTTGTTTGATATGGCGGGACATTGATATTCTCAGAGTGTGTTTAAAATGAGGCGTGTGTACTCTTTCAATTTAGTTTGTTTGGCACAGTGTTCAAGTATTTTCTTGCTGAAATATTTAGCTTGATGTTGAATGCAGATAACCATGAAACCACGAGACTCATTGGCTTGTTGCACAATATCTGGCATAAGCTGACTCTGTAGCGACTACACACAGTACTTAGCCTACCAATGTGTTACTGCCTGCCAGAGCTGTTTCCCAGATGAGATGCACAAGCCATCATATGTAATCGGATATTTTGAAAACTTTGGGGAACGTACTGCTGCAGTGTATGACACTGGTTGTCCAGTGCTCACTTTAAGACGATTAATGTACCGTACTGTACGCTGTGCAGACATTATAATCAAACGCATCTATGTCTATACAGCATACATAAAGTAAAGCCATTAAATATGGTAATTTCAGTCCTATAAATGATAAATAGGATTTTTTTACTGATGTAGGGAAAACTTCGCCGAGTTTACAGTTCTTTCTCGTTGGTCCTGTCCAGATATTTGGAAAAAATTGGGTTTAAGTTTAGCTTTACAATAATTAAGCAATTCAAGTATTGTCTCTACTGCATTTCTTTTAGACCATATGTTTAATTGATAAAATGAAGTTAGTGTTCACTCTAATATTTTTCAGTCAACAATTTAAAAAAGCAATTAAATTATAGTACTGTACCTTCTTTTTGTTATGTTTATCGGACCAGATTACAATATAGGAAGTGATCATAGAGAAATGTTGTGTTTAACCATAAAGAATAGCTTGAATAAAAAACAATCTCAATCTGCATAACTCATGAATAGAAAGTATTTTGGCTGCAGCCCAACCTGAAAATGGCTATAATGAGTGTCAGTCACTCATAATTAGGTGGGCATCATTGGACATGGCAGTGACAGAGTGTGCAGCATGCAATTGTTCACATAATTTTTGTTACATAATCAGGCTGGTATGACCCGCATGCGTCTACATAAATGTGAGCTATAGATGAGCTTAATCAACGTTTTACCTCCTCTCATTAATGTATTTTATATATACTGTATATATCCCGAGGTGGTCAGGTTGATGAAGGCACACATTGGCACTCAGTTGACACAGCTGAGGTTCTGGATTTGGCTCCTCATCAGAGATAACCAATTTCGCAGGCAGAGTGAGAATATGGTCTCAGCTCGGTCACCATTAACCGCATATACAATCTATTGTGCACTTCGTTGGGCAAAGCCTGGCATTGAGGGCCTTTGTTGGATGGCGATGCCATGGCAGCGCCTCCCTTAAAGGCAGCATGTGATGGGGCATCTGTTGGGTGTTATAAGGTAAACCGTTAGTGAGCCATCGAAAGTAGTTTTATGGCGTCATCCTCAGGAAATGATCCCTGGCGAACAATGTATACATGTGGAATCTGATTTGACTAAGAAAAAGCACAATCAGCTTTTTACATGAACTGGTCATTTTCAAGATAAACAGCACCTTGTAATGTAATTTGCCTGTTTGTGGGTTTTTTTGTAAGTTTGTGTGATTTATATATTTAATTAGGTGCTGCCGGGAAACGCTAAGTATTTTCACATGATGGGTGTGCATACGTTTCAAATATATCGACCCACAGTAACCCCCAGGCGGGGAAAATATGGCTTCGCTTTGAACGTCCCATTTCACGTGTACAGCTCAGGAATGTATTTTTTTACAATGCATGAAGGAGAAAATGAGAGTGCTTTAACTACAAGGCTTACCACTAACATTTGGCACCAAATGGTACCCAATCATGATTAATTGGAGTCCCTGAATAATTAACCCTCAAATAATTGTGTGCATTATTTTTGAATTACTCTACAGTATTCACATGGTATGCACAGTAGATTATAAAGCGCCCTCAATTTGTGAAGTAATCAACATCAGAGGGCATTTGAACTCGTGCAGTGATCGTGACCATGGCGTGTGCTAAAACAGGTGTGTTTAAGTAAGAGATGCGGTTAACCGCAGGCTGTGAAAGAGAAACTGACATCCTGGTCCTTGTGTTTGGATTGTTCAAATTTCGCTGGAAACCCCGACAATCGATTACCAAAAAAGTAAATCAACCTACTGAGAATTTTCAGTGAAAGGAAAAGCAACCTGAGGAAGCTCACGTGGCCGCCTTGTGAATTAAAATACTACTATAAACTATAAAAGAATGAACAGCGATTCCTTTACGTCGCTGCGGTCTTCCTGCTTGTGCCGTGAGAAACCCCCTCTTCCTCATTGTACTGTGGCGTAAATTTCCCACTTACATCTCTGTGCTGTGTGGTTCCCGGATGTCTTTATTTTCAACTGCCATCGCAGTGTTTCTTGTAATACGATCCGTGGAGCTTTATGAAAAGTACCCGCAGTTGGCCCAGTCATGAAGATGTCCTTTCAGAGCTTAAAAAAAAACCGTGTCCGTAATGTAAAAAGCTACTAAAAGAAATACTTTTAAAATGGAAAAGGTGGTGTTTTTTGACTTAAGTATTTTCATGCTTTGCGTTGTTTGTGCCAAGTATGGTTAGTTGCTGTGGCATTTGTTGGTTTAGGTTACAAATTATTTGAATTTTTTGTCTACGGGAATTCGCTGTTGTAACCAACTGTGGGTTATGGATTTTTGTTCGTGTACATTGTAGTTCATCATTACCAAAACACATGATTAATCTTTGTGTGACAATCGATCAATACTGGCAACAACAGGTTGCACATCTTATTTATTTAGGGACTTCTCATTTCACAACCTCCTAAGCACACATCATCTATTTAGTTGGACAGTGACCCTGAGAGCATTTGGAATCGAAATGAAATCAACCTGTCAAATCAAGGTGAAACTTGGGTTGAATTGAAGAAATAGAAGTGGAAGGACCTATCAATTGAATGCAGCACACCTTGTTCTGTGCTCAATTTATCGTAATTATTACTGTACTCCGATTTGCCAATCGCATTTCAGTAAATGTGCAGACGTTGACTAACGTTTCCTGATATCAGACCAATGTTGGCACAACGTCAACCAACGTTCGCCCAAACGTCAACTAACGTTGGCCCAAGGTTGCATTTTTACTGGGATATGCCAACAATTCATGAAATGTACGAGCCTAATGTTAAACTTTAATGCAGTAACACCTTAAAGTGACATGTGCATTAAGGCATATTCAATATATATGATTGCTCTTAAACTTGTGCTTGACGTGTACCCCCAGAAGTCCTGTTAACTGTCGTTGTAGCATTAAAGTGAAGTAACACTTTACATCAACATGTAGCAGAGGTGGAAGGCTGATGCTTATTGTGATGTGGGAGGCTGAATATATTGTTACGATCGGTTTGAAGAATGTATTATTGGTAAAATAAAAATTTATAAAATGTCATTAGCAATAAAGAGCTAAAGCAGAGCATGCGGATGGTTCAACGAATTCCATACAATTGACGAGTGCATAGCTTTAAAAATGCAAAGTGCAAAAAACACAAAGCAGCAGCATGCTTAGAAACCTTGTGTAATCATACCTCATAAGATCGTTTTGTCACGTACCCCCCCCCCCCCCCCCCCCAGAGATGTTTCACACGTCGTGTTTTTTTGTTGTGTTGACGGAGTATTTAACACACAGTCATAGTGACCCAGCCTCAATAGGGGCCAATTCACATCAGTGGCAAATATCATCACCCCTCGGCATGTGCGATCATTGTCCCCTCCTAGCAGACTAATGCCCCAGGTCACTTTTGCAAGGGAGAACATCATGGTCTCTTGAGTTCTTAGCTGATTATGCCATATAAACTTAAACTTGACTTTTTAAAGAATCCCTTACTTTATCCACTTGAAATCATCCACCATTGCGGAGGAATGCTTGGAATGTCATCGTCATGAGCAATTGGAATGCGTGGAGTAGATGTGGAAAGACAGTTTTGTAAATGGAATGTAAAACGAGGTGGTGATGGGTGGACCACGTGCCGTGCAGGATGGAGGGCAGGTTAGTGACAGTGAAACTAATAAGACAGTGACCAAGGAATAAATCCAAAACCAGATGTTGGGCTACATTAAAGAGCAGACCAGGAAAGTCAGGCATTGACTGGCCTGACAGAATGAGGGTGAGGTGTGGTGGCGACGGTGGAATTAACTGAGTTGACCTTAATATCATCACTATGCATTAATGGATACTTTAGTTGTGGTATCTTCACTCTTAGCTTTATTATTACTGCCAATGTGTCTCTCTAAAGCTCGTATATTACTGCTGACCAATAAAAGCAAGATTGCTTGTATTACCCCTAAATAAATGTCTGTCAATGCTGTACAAGGTGTAATCACCATAAATACACACGAGCAAGTGAACTGAAGGTCTTGTGTGTGTGTGCGTGTGCTCTCTCATAGAGGCGCCAGGCCACCGAATACCGCTTCTTGGCCCAAAACTCAATCGACACGGATGAGTCTTCGGGAATGTCAAGTGGAGAAGACCCAACCTGGGATGTTCAGGAAGAATCTACCTTGGATGACGAAGATAGCAGCATTTCCTCAAGTGAAGATGATGACTTCTCTGGCTCGGGGTCTGGCTCAGGCTCAGGTACTAAACGTAACAACAATAAAAAACTAAGTTTCCCCCGCATAGCCTGAACAGACCGTTGGGGCAAGGGCTGTTAGCGAGCACCTATGAAGGCTGGCACGGCACACAAGAGGGTGGGTTGCCAACACCATGCCCGGCCGCCTTTATCTCCCCAGTGGTAATGTTTACGCACTACACTAGGTACTCATGTGAAGCTGAGTCGACCTGGTAGGTCGGGGGGAGGGGGGCATGAAGAGTTCAGATAATTGTCACAGGTGTTTGCTGTGAGCGGGAATCTAACTCAGGTTGCCCAGTTCGTAGGACTAAGCGTAACACAGTCACTCACGCACAGACAAAGGTGTATTGCTGTGAATCAAATTGTATTCCCAGCAACTTCTAAATGTAGACATAATGGTGGTGGTGTAATGGGTGAGCACACCAGACATCCAATACAAATGTCACGGGTTCAATTCGATCTCCCAATACAGCAGTTGAAACAAGGAGCTGGTTTATTATATCCCCACACCCTCTGTTCACCTCTGTGCTTTTTTATAGTTTCAACTGAATGAGAAGACATGATGCAATATTGCTAATATAACTCTGATGTGTGGGTGTTCTGCGTTATATATTATCTGTTCGCTGCAACGTACTACACCCCCAGTTATATACTTACCGTACAGTACTATATTTCAAGTTTATTTTGTTCAGTGTACTCGCCTCGTGGGTATTTAGCGATAAACCATTCGACTTAATCCAATTGGCTAGAAATATATGTACACTTTTTAAACACATACTGCATTATAGTTTAACTATCTTCACAGCTCCTTTCTAGTTATAAGTCAGATGAGAGGTTATTCTTTTCAGAAAAACTTATTTTCCTCCAAAACAGCCATTTCTGCAGAAATTTGTGAAAATTTGGCCATTTTATGTTGAATATCAGTGGAAACTACCCTTATGAAGGCACATTAGTTGAGCTCAATGTTTATTTTCCGTATGCATTGACTGATCATCGTGCAGAAATTAATGTTTTAGTGCACGACTCTCTTGACTAATTTAAATTATGCTCGCTTTTTTTCATGTCCAGGTGATGCTGATGCGGAATCGGAGGAGGATGAGACTCCCGACAGCAGTGAACAGGAAGAGGAGCTTCAGGTATAACTTAATGATTTCCATAAAGCACTGGCGAAAATGTTTTTTGCAAGTTGTCTACAAATGATTTGGTGGAACGCAATGCAGAATGAAATATTCTCACTGCAGTTGACACGGAAGAATGTATTAAATCTCATCAGATAGGGAGCATAGAAACAAGTGCCACATTCAACTTTAGTTTCTACCTTCAAGAAGCCATGCTTGCAACATTCGGAGCCATTCAAACCACACACGTCTCTCTGTAATCTGTAAAATTAGTCGGGTGACCGAATCCTCGTCGGCGATTAATTTAGCCCATCATCCCCTCCAGTTTTGGTAAAATGCTACCACTTTGTGGGAGGAAAAAATAGGTTGTCCAGTGGATAAACCTCTCCTTATGCAATTTACACAGCTCGCTCAGGACCACCAACAGACATGAGCACCACGATTATTTGGTGGAGTAATTGGACAGTCTTTGGTGTTTCTTGTTTTCATTCCCATAATCCAAAATATAAACTGCAAGCACGTGTTTTATGCAAGGCAGCATGATAAATCATAACACACTGTTCCTTAATACGGTACACATTGTAATATTGTATGCACCCAGACATCAGCTTGGAGAGTGAGGTCATATATATTATAAAACACACGAAAACTATTATGTAAAAACTGGAATTCCAAGTTCATTCGTTGAAGGGGAAAATGCGGATGGATTTTGAATAGTTAAGTCAATTATAATCTTCTTATTGTGTTTATAAAGAACACCGGTTGATCTGGCTTGCAGGTGGAACAAAGTAAAGACCTGAATACGATCCCAGATGATGACGAGAAGGAAGAAGATAAGACGGAGTCCAAAAATGATCTTGGCGAGAACTACGATGAGGAAGAGCCGAACGGAATCAGCGTTCCCAAAAAGACGCCACGCATTAGCACCGACATGGACAACAAAGTTGAGACATACGTCATGGCTCAGAAGAAAGGCTCCCAGAATCCCCTTGAAAGCACCGAGGTCCTGGCAGGTAAATGTTTCACGCCACACGCTTCTGTAGCGACATTTTCAATCTGTTTGACTCCGAAAAAAATAATCCTGCTAATTCATTATGAACTACACCGCTATAAAAGCAGCAGCAGTAGTGCTGTGGTACAAGTGCACGCATCACGCCCTTCACCGCGAGCTCACTTAGTCATTCGAAATTGCCTTCTCGTCTTGACCCTTATTTGTTTAACCAACTTTAACGACAGTATCCCCTCGTTATTCGCGAGCGATACATTCCGGACATGCTCGTGAATAGGACGGATAATTATATTTGCCTATGTAAACCTATCGTTTTAATAAATTACCTTGAATAAATAGATAAATAAGCTATTAAATACATAAACATGAGTAAAATATATATAAATATAAAAGTTTCTCGTCGTTCTCTCTCATCACTTTATCTCATCACTTTCTTTCTCCATTTCTCCTTCTCTCGATGCAGTCGTGTAGAGTTCCAGATGCGAGTTTAACACGTAGGCTTTCATGACCGATATTATCCATCATAAAAAAAGATTGGTAAGGTTTGTCACGTAAACAATGTGATTCGCCGATATCCAAAATTTCGGATAGTAAGTCCGTGAAATAGCGAGGGAATATTGTACGTAATAACATCCTTGATTTGAAGCTTTCGTGACTGCAAGGATTAATATTCTTAGGTTTTTCGGTAAAGTCACGTAGGTAAAAATTTAAAATTAATAAAAGTAAAAAAATAACGACGTTTCGGAGGCAACACAGACAGAAGCTTGTGTTGTCTCCGAAACGTCGTGATTTGTATTTTTTATTTTATTTTTATTTTTCTTTTATTAATTTTCATTTTTTACCTACGTGACTTTACCGAAAAAACCTAAGAAAATGTAATAACATCCTCTCGAAATTAGCTCCATTTTGAGACGTAACATCGCTATCCCAGTCCCTGTACGTGGTCACACATTAAGATATACATCACCATCTAACAAGACAACCTATTGATTTAAATGTCAAGTGTTTAGCATAATTCCTTTCAAATTACAGTTTTCGTAGACTTATAATTCCACATAGTGTGATTTCCACTATTATTTTTGTAATAGATGATCATCATTAAAGTGATAACCAAGACAGTGTAGCCGATTGCTTTTTGGTACAGCTGTCTGGAATTTAATAGATTATGGCTTTAAACAGTTACCAATTAAGTCAGGTATTTAATAATTGTTTTCTAATTCAAAGTTTAAAAAAATATATAACTTTGAAAGAGACACTGGACTTGGAACCTGAAGTTTGTAGTTACATATTATTGGCATATTCCTCCAGTGCTGTCCCAACTAGTGCGCGTTTTGCTTTGTTACACTTTTATGCAGCATCGTTACTAATCGGCATTAGCCACACTGCTTGTGCTAGAGTTGCTCGACTGTGTTTTTATAAATCTCGACCGAAAACAACACTTATATTTCTGGCAACTTAGACAATGATTCTGTGTCCTCATATCTTCGTATAGTGTGTCTCTCTTTACCATGGAGTAGAAATGCACATACATTGTAAATCGCAATTTCACCATTCAGAACTTTCTACATATCGGAATATATGTTACAGTTCAGCTTTTCGTTGAAATACGAAAAATTACTTGTGATTATTTTACCAATATTACTATTCATCAAGTTATATTTTAGTAGTATTGTATTTCTTTGTACTCTCTATGTATTAGGCTATTCGTATGCCTGATCACATCAGTTCATGGAAGCTAATCATGTTTTGAGCCTGGATAGTGCTTGGAAGGGCATCCACAATGGATAACAGGTGTTATGGGCTGCAGACTTACAGTTGTGGGCAATAGATGGCAGTTCAGCAAAATCCATTGTTCCGCTGTACTTCTGCACTGCGCGATTTTCCAACTCACACTTGACCAGCATGGGGAGATACTAATCCAGCAGTGTATTGACAAAAGGGTCATTTGCAAGATTGTAAATGTTCCTCGTGTGAAATGTCTGGGGGCTATTGCCTCTGCTGACTGAGTCAGAAGCACTGACATTGAGTTCAAATTTCAGTCAAATATTAGTCACCCAAAATGTCAATAGTTCTCAGTCAGCAATGACGAGCAAACAAAAAAGGCCATATTATTAAATATATATATTGTTATCACATGACTCCCTTGAAGACCACATGAAACGGAGCATCCACGTGGTGGATGCACGAGAAGCTGTTGGAAACACATCAAAAGTAATTTGTTGGACGTCACCCCTGAGTGCCGGGCGTGCTTGGGAGTAGCAGTGAACGTGGGAATTGATGTGCCTCCTATGTCACCAACATCATGGTCACGATGGTGCAAAAATAAAGCTGACACACGATTGTTGTCACCGTTGTTGTAATCGTTGTTTTCATGTTTGTTGTCGTGTTTGCCTGCAGCGGTGATCGCGGGCGGTGTCGCTGGCCTCGTGCTGGCCGTGCTGCTCATCGTCTTCCTCGTCTACCGCATGCGCAAGAAAGACCAGGGCAGCTACATGCTGGGGCGCCCCGCTGCCCAGCCATACCAGCGCACCAGCGACCAAGAGATCTACGCATAGGGCTCGCAAACCGACTGTTTTAACCAACCCCGCAACTCATCACGATCATAATAATCTAAGAAGTAAAAGTTGGAACATGTAATGTGATACACGTTCCTCAAGTTGTAAAATATCAGCCTATATTAAGCTGTTGTTGCTGAGAGGTTATGAATCAAGTGTGCTGGTTTTTAGGGGACCGTGCAGGGTTGGCAATACATTAAAAAGGATGGAAACTTACCCGGCTTTTTTAATCGTTTATTGACCCAACAGGTGACAAGACTGATTAAGGGACATTTTGTTTTTAAGCAAAGACTGCCAGAAATTAACTGGTGTTGATGAAGTCATTTATTGACTTTATCTTCTGACTGGTTGGAATGTATGATTCACAAAACACTTAAACAGGTGCATTATCAGTTACTGAAGACTAATTTACATAAGCTAGCAAGCCTGTAATAATAAAGCCAACGAGCAGTCATTGTACTACTGACTAGTGTAGCATGCAAGGATTTTTATAAATATTCCTTTGCCCTAAAACCATATTCTTTTTTACATTGACATGTTGCCTGGATTGTTTGTGCGTAGCCTTTGACATAGACATTTAGGGTTTAACACAATGGCCCGTTTTTGTTGATGTTTTATATTGCCTTCATGAAATGTTAACCCATACATGTTTTATTCTAACATGATACAGGAATCTATTAATTATGTAAATAGGGATTATTTTAACATATAACTTATACCGATTGTTCATTTTAATTAGAATAATTTCTATATGTTGAATGTCTTATAATTTCCAGCATTTCTGCTTGTTACGCTGGTATTTACAGTGTCCAAAAAACAAACAAAAAATAAAGTTATTTAAGTAGTTTTCATTCAGTACTCTCATTATTTGAATAGCTGCAAAGAATTATATTTTCTATATTTGTCTTGTTTTTATTGTAGTGTTGAATATATCTCTGCTGTGTAAATGTCATATCAATTTAAACAACAAAAGAAACACCGCGATGTGAATGTAGTTGGTGCTCTTATTAACACAAAATAGCAGGGACGCTGAGGTCACGGACACAGTCACTCTCGAATGGACCTGTTTTGTGTGGGGGCCACATCCAATAACACGAAAGCACGTCTGATTGCACTTTACTGTAAATGTGTGTGTTCCCATTATATTAGCAATCATGTGAAAACAAATATATAGTTTAAGCAGCCCAAGTGAAACAAAACCTAGAGTTATTATTTCGACACATTTGTGTAAAATACACTTAATAACACTGCAATGTATGCAGACGCAGTAATAGGTACTTGTGATTATTAAGTAGGTAATCTCTCGAGAACTGTTTAATCGAATATCAATTGTCTTATGAACAGATCCAGTGGATGCGTAGAAGCTATGTTACATATCGGAGACAGGAGTTTGTAAACCTTTGGCATTTGCAAACACAGCATGCGCTGTATAGCTGTTGTGCAGAATTTGTCTTTAAGCGTGTTTCGTTTAGAATCCCCCCCCCCCACATGACTGCATGCTTTTGTGCAAATGCCGACAGCTTACATCAACCCTGGGGAATTTTACAACTTCTTGAAAACTTTGCAACCACCACGAGTCATTTTTGTTTTAAAACAAAGAATACTCCGTAAAGGGGTGCATTGCCTTGTTTTCTTGGACTTGTTGACGTTTAAAACGAATAACTTGCTTTCAAGTAAAACATGCTGAGATGAAAACAAAGTCACCGTGAGAATACTTTGCAAAACGAATGTATTCGCCTGCAGATGTTTTTGTGCAACTAAGCCCAAACGTTTCGTGTGCAACCTAAGGTTACACATTTTAACTTGTCCATTGGGTTAAAGGGATGAATTGGGACGGAACATTTAACACTCAAACATGACTTGGCACAGGCAGATCCTACCAGTTACTTAATTCAATTAACATACTCGATCATACTCGTCTACTCATGCTACTCATGCGTCTCAGGCTTCCGTTGTAACTAAATATTTAAATTCTCTACTAAGGATATATTGCAAGATAAGTCAGGTGTGTGTCTTAAGTGCATTTAAATCAAAGACTGAATATTTTCTCAGAGCTTCAATGATTTTGTTTTGCCTTTGTATGATTGTCTCGTTGAAGAATATCGCTAATTTTAGTATGTGTAGGTTGATGGCATTTAAAAAGAAAAAACTCAACATTCCAGTCAGATGAATGTCACCTGCCTGAGAAGTACACAACAGGGAGTGCCATTGTCAAGTACAGGTTTTGTGAGTGATGTTCAGCTGTGACAGTATATTAAGCAAGTTTCCATACCTGACGCTACAAACATAGTTTTTGGCTCACGTGTGTGTGTGAACATGATGGCGTATGTTTCACACATTTACTGAATGGGTGATACATGCTGAGGTACTGATGCAAATACACCAAAATGTAACAACAGATATGTTGCTTTGTGTGTACAGATGGTAGAGTTTGTGTGCATTTGAATGCAAATGAGCATGTTTGTAGAACTCACCATGCAATCCTGGGTCAGTACGAGCAGATACAATTGAGCAATGTTCATATGTGCAGTTGGTGGTGCATTGCATATTAAAGTACACATTTTTTGTACAAAATACATTCCTAGTCTTAATATGATCTAATTTAATACTAGACCAAAGGATATTCACAATATAAGCATTTATTATAGCCTAATAAATATGTTCTCTTTTGATTTCCATAGACACTGAAAGTTTTGTACTTCAAACGTCGTGTTTCTAAGATGAAAATAAATTGTACCAAAATTGTCATTGATAATTGAGTCTCTGGATTTCTAAAATGTTAAAACAATCTTGGCTTTCGTGAATACAAAACTACATGTGGAAATGTACGTTATTAAGGCGTGTTAGCAAGTTGCGAATTCAGTGAACCTTGACATAAAAACAAGTTAATTAAAAATTAGAATATGTTCTTTTTTTACTTTTACTGTCATTGTGACCCTCTGTAAAGCACGATTTCCCCAAGGCAGTTGTACAAAACATCACTATCTTACTTTTCTGTCAGTGCCAGTTCTATGTATGTGTATATATACAGTAATTAAATAATGTTTTATGAACCTGTTATTATGAAGGGCTTGCTCGTGTTCAGTAATGATACAAAAAATATCAATTTCCATAGCGCCCTAACATGGAAAGCCATTACAAGGGCGTGGAAACAACAAACACATTCAACATTCGTCATTAGTCCATTACAATGAGAAACGATGGCCACAGAAAACGACTCCAGAGTCTCCAAAATACCCTCCTCCACAGAGTCGTTTTCACCGGCTCCATCTCCCACGAGCTCTTCACGCCTTGTACAGGAGCTGCACCCGCTTACCAGTGCACTAGAGAGTCCAGTTGAAGGTCGCAGTGTTATTCGCTTTCATGGCACAGAAAACCCGGTCAGCTAGCCTCTCTAAGCGATGCCATCCACCCATACGTACCCGTCACACAAAAAAGAAACCCACGCTCAATCTGCTATGGACCTGCTGAGTATGAAATCCACTCTGCTTGGGACAGCAGAACGGAGCTTTTACGGCTGCACCCGCGTGGTCTCTGCCAAACAGAAGTCCGCTGAGCCGTGATAATCACTGCCTTATAGGACCGAATTAAATACGTGTCTTTTCTCGTTTTGTTTAGTTTCACGTAGTTTAATTCTCCCAGTGCCATCGTCGCTTCGTCTTAGCTTTGTTTTTTGCTGAATACAGGTGGCGCGTTGTCAATCTTGGATTGATTGATGCCTCACTTGAGTCACATGCCGCGCAACTGGTTATTTCAGTTGACATTCATTTCTAATAAAAGCCCGGCGTTCCGATAAGTGCGTCCGTTTGTCCGTAAACTGCATTATAAGATTCTAGATTTGAAGCTTTCGTGACTGCAAGGATTCATATTCTTGGGTTTTTTCGGTAAAGTCACGTAGTATCTACTGACTCTATATATACCTACACAGCCTACATACAATAGAGTCAGTAATATCAGTAGTATGCTGGTGTGGACTCGAGTCATGTGACTTGGACTCGAGTCAGACTCGAGTCATGAATTTGATGACTTCAGACTCGACTTGGACTTGCATAACAATGACTTTGTCCCACCTCTGGTAGTATCTAATGGCTCTATGTTTGCTGACACAGCCTACGTGCAATAGTCAGTCGTATCTGCACACATGGGGCGGGCATCAGTGGGGTCGACGAGCGAGGCGCGTATTGCCAAGAAGCCCTCCTCCAGAGCTAAACTTCCGGCGGCTGCAGGCCACCGAAATTCTAATACTGGTAAAAATGTAAAATTTAAAATTAATAAAAGTAAAATACTTTTATTAATTTTAATTTTTTACCTACGTGACATTACCGAAAAAACCCAAGAATATGCATTATAAGAGTCTTTCAGAAGGCCTGAATCAAAAAGTTATAGGAATTGGACCCCCCAGATGTGAAGGTTAAAAGTTCATCCAACAGTCAACAGGATCACTGACTCCATATGCCGACACATCCTACATACAATAGAGTCAGTAGTGTCTGACATTATATGCCTACACACCCTACATACAATAGAGTCAGTAGTATCTGACTCCATATGCCGACACATCCTACATACAATAGAGTCAGTAGTATCTGACTATATATGCCTACACATCCTACATACAACAGAGTCAGTATTATCTGACATTATATGCCTACACATCCTACATACAACAGAGTCAGTAGTATCTGACTATATATGCCTACACACCCTACATACAATAGAGTCAGTAGTATCTGACTATATATGCCTACACATCCTACATACAACAGAGTCAGTAGTATCTGACTATATATGCCTACACATCCTACATACAATAGAGTCAGTAGTATCTGACATTATATGCCTACACACCCTACATACAATAGAGTCAGTAGTATCTGACTTTATATGCCTACACACCCTACATACAACAGAGTCAGTAGTATCTGACTATGTATGCCTACACAGCCTACATACAACAGAGTCAGTAGTATCTGACTATATATGCCTACACATCCTACATACAATAGAGTCAGTAGTATCTACTGACTCTATATATGCCTTCACAGCCTACATAAAATAGAGTCAGTAGTATCAGTAGTATCTACTGACTCTATGTATGCCTACACAGCCTACATACAATAGAGTCAGTAATATCAGTAGTATCTACTGACTCTATGTATGCTGACACATCCTACATACAATAGTCAGTTGTATCTGCACACATGGGGCGGGCATCAGTGAGGTCGACGAGCGAGGCGCGTATTGCCAAGATGCCCTCCTCCTGAGCTAAACTTTCGGCGGCTGCAGTGCCACCGAAATTCTAATACTGGAAACCTGGGCAACTCAAGGGAACAGTCAACGAATGCAATGTATTCGACTTCAACAAAACCACGTAATGAAATTATGCAGTTGTAATCTGATGCTCGTCGAACACAAAGGGCACACTAATCTCCATGCAGGGGCTCAATTCATTTCGAGAGTACGGTAGTCATATAGGTCACATTGATGCAGAGATCTAATGATTATAACTGCATTGTTTTGTCAGTCTTAATGTTTAGGATCTTTTTTTGCAAAGCACACTGGCTAACATAGAGCCTTAAGGTTTCTGCAAATAGCAGAAACTGCTCCAACAAAAACCGTGAATGGTTATACACTTTAACAAACTTTATTATTGGAACAAAAAAAAGGTATTTCCAAAGTCCAACACTATGACCGGTGTGACCTAATTGAACATGCAGTCCCAGCACTTTTAAAGTTGTGTAACTAGAGCCGCAGTACAGTATATCAATACTTTGCTTTATTACAAACGTCAGGAACAAAATGTGCTTCCACATCATTGAATATGTTTGAAACAGACCCAATTTTCC